TATTCCCCCCGCGCTTAGGGCGTAAACTAAATTTGTGACACAGCGTCGACCAGTCAGGAGACCGCGACGTCAGAATATTGCAAACGACCTCTCTGCTCCGTCTCACAAATGTCGGCAGTGAAGACAAAGGTACAGGCGCGTGAACCTAGCTCAGCAAAACGCTTTTGTTTGTACGTGAACTCGTGCGTAGGAGCCACTTTCCAAAGCCACGCGCTCGTGCCCATGCCTTTCTCTGCACTGCTGATGTTGGCGTGTTAGAACAGCGTCCTGGAGACGCGGTGTCCCGCTCGGCTCGTGCGCTGGCTTGGCAGTGCTTTCTTTCACCGTCTCAGCTGAGACGCTGTTTCTAGCAAGTTGGCCCTGGTTTGGAGCGCACGTTCGTTTATTCTACACTTGAATATTGGCGTGACGAAAACCTCGCACGCACAAAGTTTTCAGTCACTGAGAGTTACACCTTTTAACTCTAGCGACGCTAAAACGGCTTGAATTAGTCGTGTCACAAATTTAGAGCTCACGACCACCGCTAGGGACTGTTTCGCGGCCTGTGGTTGGCCCCAAGATGCTCGCCTATTCAAACCAATGTATGGCCAAACTCTCTCGATAAACGGCTCTGCATTGGCGGCGTTCGTTGCGCCATCTCTTGTTTCCCGTGCGAAACGGCGCCGTGTTGTTTGCAGACCGGTAACGTCGCTGAGTTTCCATAGGAGCTAAGCTTTTCCTTTCTTTACTTTTTCCTCAGGTAAGTTCGCTGTTTGCAAATTTTACAAAAAACAAATGCACCATCTGTGGGCAACGCTGCACAAAGTCGTAGCGCGATAGGTGAAGAAACCGAGTTTTGCGGTCAATTTAAAGAGCCTGGCCTCTCTTTGAATCACCCTGTATCGTGTATTGTTTATTTAGCCGTTATGAATAACAGTGTAACAAGCTTGGTGTCTGAAACATTTCCATTTCATTGCAAATATAGGTATAAATATTCGCATATAATTTGCGCTACTGTACTTACTTTTCTACTATTTTATTTAAAAAAAAAAAGTTGTAGTAGCGGTTACAAGTTTTCGTCCCGCTGTTGTGGAAGAAGTTCAGCTAAAGCTCATAGAACTTGTCATTTTAAAGGGTGGTAGAGGCTTAGTGGTTAAATTATTAAAAAGCACGAGCAACGCAGTTATTGTTTCGATTAGTATAATACTTGAACTTGAACCAATACCCGAATACAGAACAAAAAAAATTCTCTTTCTCTCTCTCTCTCTCTCTCTCTCTCTCTCTATATATATATATATATATATATATATATATATATATATATATATATATATATATATTCATGAAATGCACGGAATCAAAAGATAATCTCGTCTGTGGCATTGGGTAAAATGCCGGCGTGGAAGGTGCACTTTGTAGCGTTGTAACTTTGAAAAAAAGCAAAATGATGCGACATGTTTTTTTTTTTTTTTTATGAATAAACACAAGAGTATGGTGGAGGCCTATCACTATAAATTTCAGGAAAATCAAAAATCTGTTCTAATTGTCCCTTGAAATTTCTGAACTTTCTAATTTGGAGCAAGTCTGGAGTGACGAAAAAACGTCTCTTTGAGATAAAGCAATGGTTTATATATAATAAATACATGGCGTAAGTTTTAATGTTGTAGCTATGCAACTTTTGTATGTAACCGCTCAGAAATCTAGTGACAAAACGTCAAAGGAGCCCTGTTTGCGCATTTTTGACGCGAAATATATGACCTCCACAATTTTGTCATATTTCACTTAATAGTTACTATGATATATTATAAATGAAATATATTTCACATTTCTTATATTTGTAGTTTGCGTAGGAGCTGCCACCAAACATGACATGAACGAAAACTTCAAAAATCGAATTTGCCGTTTCTGGCGGACACAAAAAACTTTTTCACTTTAAACATTATGATTTTTGCAGAATCTTTTTTAATGACATTTCCTACATATGTTGAAGAGTGCCATATAAAAAAATATTAACAAAACCAAAGAATCCGTCGGAACTCGCGTGTATGATCTTATAGAGCCTACAGTCAATTTTAAAAGGTTTTCAGGAGCGACGCTAAGAATTAATGCGTGGCGTTCCCGCAGATCTTAACAATTTCTGATACTTCGTTATTAAAGGGACACTGACACCCCCCAAAATTTTTTTTTTTATTTTTTGCCAGGCGCTTCATTATGGTGTCGGAGGACTACCCAATTAATATTTTGCAACAGAGTAGCGTATTTCTTTAATAAAGCCAAAAGACGCAACTGCTCGAAACCGAAACCGAAACCCGACGGTGGTCGGAGAAGTGGAGAGAAGAGAGCGACTGGCGGAAGTCACGTGGCTACACCCGACCCTGCGTTTTTTTTTTTTTTTTTTTTTTTCTCCTTTCCGGTAGCAGACGACACGACATGCGGCGTGCGATGCGGCGTGCGGGAACTGCTTGCCGTGCGATTCTTTTGCAGTTATGTTTGTTCCGCTCGTTGTTCTGTACTCCAAGATGAGTTGTTTTGTACATTGAGGAGTCGGAGATGAGTAGTGAGTGCCCGTGGTGAATTTCCATGATCGGCTCCGAAAAGAATAAACCCAAGATGTTGCGTGAAGAGCTGGCTCACATGTCCTGCATCCGAAAAAAAGTGGCATTGTGCGACAGAGTTTCCGAAAGATCAACGGGATCGGGACCAACGGCTGGCTGCAATTCCTGTAGAACATTTACGGGCACCTCGGAAAGCGGACGCTACCCGATTTATATGCTCCTTGCATTTTGTGGAAAGTGATTACATTGAGTTCGCAGGTGTCAAAACGGAAATCCCATACCGTTTAATTCAGCGAAGTATCGTCCACAACATTTGTTTGTTATTTTTTTGTTCGTTTCTTCAGTGATGATTGTAAAAAAAAAGAAAAAGATATGTAAACATCAAAAAATGTTTGAAAAAAAAAAAAAAAAATTCACGGGGGATCGAACCCGGCCCTACCGCGTGTGAAGTGGACGTCTTTCCTACTGAGCTACTGGGGCTACTCGTTTCTGGTGGATCTCTTTCCTTAGTAATAATTCAGCCGGTAAACTGTAAGTTGGAAAGTTTGCTGTCCATTTTCTCTAGCAAAAGCACTCCCGGGTCGAAGTCGGGAAGCACCACGCTTTGGGGACATTCGCACCTAGTAAAGAAATCGTACGTGTGCATATTCAACTCGAAGTAGACACGTCGTGCTTGACGTTTGCGCGAGCGTTGTCTTCAGCCCCCAGAAGGGAGCGACGGCTCGGCGACGTCTTCGTTCAAATCGGCTTGGTGGCCGGGCGTGTCGTACGGGATGAATACCAATTCTTTTGATCAGTCCCAAATTTCTCTTTTAACGGTAGACAGAATTCGCCGGTACCGCGAACGACAGTTCTGAAATAGAGGTCCCACGCCCGTCGTCCGCTGCCATCGCCGTCCCCGCGAGTCCCACGATACGCGAAACGACGAACGCACAGAATGCTTCCGGTTGTCTGTGGATTTTTTTTTTTTCAATCAACGTATTTACAGCTTTTTAGAAGCCACAAAAAATGGGTTTCATATTTTTTTCTATTTTTAATATTGAGTGTGTGCCTTCAGTGACCCACGACTTTGATTAAATTTGGTGGTCGCATCGATACCTTAGAAAACGGCCCGTGACCGCGAAAAAGAGAGTGAGCGAGACTCGAACCGGCCAGTTCTTGATCGGCGGTTTTCGGGCGGAAAGAAACCGAATTTCGAGCCGCAAATTCTGTTCTGGGTAGTTGAGCTCTCATATGTAACCTACAACTAAAAACCTCGGCGAGCATAAATACCCTGTCAGTGTCCCTTTAAACAAATTATTTTAAACAGTCAGTAGCATACAATGTGCCAGTATTACTAAACAAAAACTCGATACGCTTCACGATGATTATACAGTCTCTTGCAAAATTGTTTTTTTTTTTATATAAACCAATAAATTTACACGCGTTTTTGTACTTTACTTGTCAATTGAGATTTTGTTAGCTTTTAAACTTCAACGTATGCAATGTTGTAATATCTTTATGGTAACCATTGAAGTTTTATTACAGTGGTGAAAACTTTTCGTACTCATTGAAGTTTTCGTGCTCGATTTAATCACTAAAGGTATTATCAACTTTTAGTATACATGTAGAGCGAACGATGTTCCATGTCAATTATGTATCGGTGTTTTCTTTCCATTGTCGTTGTCGTCGTCGCCTTCTAATGGCTCCCTAGCTTCGTCAACCTCTCTTCACAAGCTTTTCGCCGTGGAGGCCACAGAATTGTATAGGCTAGAGATAAACTTTGAGCACACCTTCGAAGTTTTGGCTTTTGATTGGTCGCTTGATTCGTCCAGCGAGCGTGTAGCGTCCTTCAGAAGCGCTTCATAACGTCACAGATTTCGCAAGTCACTTCGTATGCATTCCTCTTCGTTGTCAGCGCAACTACGTAGCGTTTTTCCTCGGCGCGGAGAAGAAACGCGCATTATCAGAAATCAATGACATCCATCGCATCTGGTTTTTAATGAAGCCCAAATGTGACTAGTGGAATTCTCCATTTCCAAGAAATTTGCACCGCTTTGTTTCGTTTCTAGTTGTCATTAATAAATGCGTGGAATCGAGCTCTAACCTTAACGTTACATACACTGTTCTCCCACTAAGACGTGCTCATAAGACAGCACCGAGTCGAAAGCGGAAAGAAATCGTCGATAAGGAAGAAATTAACATTGAGCTTTACCTCGAAAGTCTTATAACGGATGGGATACGTTATTTAAGACACAACCGTCGCACCCGTCTCTAGAAGGCGTTAAGCGTCACATGACGTTACGGTGACAAGTCGTGGCGTTGCGTGACGTCACGTGCAACGGTATATGCGCGGACGCACGTATTTTTGGGAGCAGGGTGTTGTAAATCATTCCACGCTTTAATAGCGTGTGTGTCACGCCAGGCACCGATCAGAAACATCGAGCTTGCTCGTGCTGACGCTACGTCGACCCGTTTTTTTGGCAGGCCGGGCGTTCGACATCACCTACGTGCGCCTCAAGTTCCACTCGATGCGGCCCGAGAGCTTCGCCATCTACAAGAGAACCGAGAGCGGCGGCCCCTGGCTGCCCTACCAGTACTACAGCTCCACGTGCTACGACACGTACGGCGTGCGGGCGGGCGCCTACGTGACCCGGGACGACGAGACGCGGGCCTTGTGCACGGGCGAGTTCAGCGGCCTCACGCCCCTCACCGGCGGCAACGTGGCCTTCTCCACCCTCGAGGGCCGCCCGTCCGCCTTCAAGTTCGACTCCAGCCCCGTGCTACAGGTACGTGAGCGTCCCCCGGGGTCCTGAACTACACGGTGCTTGGAACGCGTCTTCGACCGGATGTCCAGCGCGCCCTCTTCGAGCTTCAGCCTGTTTGCCACTTGGGGCGGGTCGGAGATCCACTAACAATGACGTCATGTGGAGGCCTTGTTTTCTAAATAACATTTGTATTACCACTCAAAAAAAAAATATGCCGAGTCACTGGGCTGTGAACGCATGCACGGCGCCTGATATTCCATGGGAGACAGATTCTACAGCCCAGTAGACAAAGATGACTGCTAACAGAAGGCAAATATTGAAGTTGTCTATACTGCCCAGTAATTAAAAGCAATCCCCAAGTGGCAAAAAAAAAAAGTGGCGTCACAGGTGCCGGCGTCTTCTGCTGTAGGGAGTCGCGATCCTAGCGGCTGGTCGTTAAAGTTCTGCCGAATACGACGAGCGATGTCGTCGCGACGTCCCAATTCGTTGCTGCAGCAGTTTCCGGGGACTGCCGAGCTGAGCGCTATAGCCACAGCAGAACAGGCATGTGCTGCATGCGCCTCCCTGTTGTACCGCCGCCTAGGTAGCGACGGGCGACCGCATGACACTTCTATGACGCAATCAGACGAAATTGGAGGCAGAGCATATGGAAGAACACGGTAAACACACCAGTAAAAGATACGGTATACAGGCACCATACTAGAACATGCGTACTTTGCCCACACCTTCTGTCTAGCGAGGCCGTAGTGCAGTACCTACCGGAGATCAGAGCGGGATACGAAGTGGACAAGAGTACTCCTTCAGCGTTCGGTTGGGACGAGTCTCAGCGGAACGCCGACGGAGTACTCCGGTGCACTCTGTGCTCCGGGGTAGGTGATGACATAATAATGCACCAGTACGGCCTTGCTATCCATTTGGTGTTGGCTGGACTCTGGACATCTTGCACTGGACCTTGGGAACAGTGTTATAACTACATTGATTATCTTTATAAATGTAGGGGTTTGAAATGTCGTTTAGAAGAAAGAATTTGTTTTTAAACCTGGGGAAGTTTTCATTCCGAGGAGGGGTTATTTTGCTCGTTGAAAACTGCACGCAACTTGGAAACTGTTTGATCGTGCCACGCAATAAAAAATATACAAAGCTAAGGCCATCTCTACGGACGTTAAAAAAAAACAGGGAGGGAAAAAATTAGGAGCAGTTTTGCAGTGCGATATGCGGTCGTTCATCCCAAGGTGCTTCAAACCTCATCGCTAGTGACACAGGGAGACCACTGTCGCGGTGTTTCGGCATACAGTCCATTAGTGACAGCGAATCAGAAGACTGGCAATGGGCTCTAAAAGAATGATAGAGTGTACAAACAGATATACCTGTAGAAATAGGATGACCAGAAATACTACTACTCGCTGAGAAGGAGCAAGAAGTAGCCGCTGCATTTCCACTACCGGTTGTGTGGTGCCGATCACAAGGACTGAAAAACTGAGCTGGACAAGCATGCGGACAGCGAAAAACACCTAGTGATTTAAATATTAATAAAAAAAAACACGCCAAGTAAGAGCGGTTGCTCAAAACTGACAAGGGAGACAAAACAACGCTGGCTGCTTTTACTGTGAAACATCGACTCCCTCAAGCTATCCTGAACAACCTAGCTTCCCTAATAAAAACAGTCTGTCCGGACTCTGACATCGAAAAGGGACAAAATGCGCTACGGTAATCAAAGGCGTTTTTAGAGGCTAGTGAAAACCTTCTTGATTTATTGTGAACGTCAACTTTTTCACCTATTGTAGATAAATCGGCAAAAAGAAACGCAAAGAAAAATGTTTTTCTTTTTTTTTTTGTGGCAAGTTAAGGAAACTCCAGTTATGGACTCCGTTTTGGCCTTTCGTTCTATTCAAAAAGGTTCTTCTGTCGGACTTCACAAGCTGAGAAACTTTATTTTTACGAAGAGCACTGATCGACTTTTGGAAAAACATGACTGGCTTTGCAGCTGATAGTGGTAATGTGATGATGGGTGTTCGAAACTCACTTCCATCAGTTCTGAAAGATAACAACCCTGGGCTCTGCATCGTAAAGTGTGTGCCACTCATTCCATTTGTGTGCCTCATTGAGGACTTAGCCTGAGAGGTCTACAACTGTTCTCTGCCCTACTATCAAGCGTTTGTCTACTAGCACTTGCAAGAGCTCATAGATGCGGTACCTTTCAAGATGTGCATGCCTGTCAGACACGTGCTAAATCCTCCTCAGTGCGATTTAAAAAAAAAAAAAAATCTCTTTGAGCAGTTTTTTGTTTCTCTGAGTTTTCATCGAAACCCTGGTTGTGAGGTAAGCTTTTTGCTCGCCGACTCCATCCTTAACGAGCTCAAGGACATAGTGAAGAAGCTCTATCTGCAGTTCCTTAAAGGACCTCTGACACGCCAAAAAAATTCAAAGAGCCCGCCAATACCCTGTGACGTAACAATATACCCCAAGGTGCCGTTTTGTAGATAAATCGTAGATATTGTCAGAAGAGAGGCATCGACCTACGTTATTAAAAGCGGGTTTACCGGAAGTCACGTGAGTTTCACTCCTCGTGCTCTCTATGACCGTGCCTAAGATATTATTATTATTATTTATTATTCTGGTCTTTTCCACGAGCAATCGTAAAAAACAAAGTTTCAGTTCCACTAGCTTTTAACGCTGCATCGTTGGTTGGTTTGCGTGCTGTAAAAGTTGAGGACGAAGAGTCAGTGGATCGACGTGATGGAGGTCAATGATGAAAGCGTTGCGAGTACAAGCCAGTGTACGAGTGCATGCCGTCAGTTCGATGATACAGAGCTATAGACGCTTTGCAGCAGCTGTGCATGGACGCCGCCATAACTGACCTTCAGTTTTTGTTTCCTCTTATTTCGTTTATTTCACTTCACCATTACCATAGCAGGCCAGGTTATTGCCATATTAGATTCAACTGTGTCCTTTTCTAAAGCATCGGCCTTTGTAGAGGATCGTCAACTACCGTTTCAGTTGCTCGGCATCTCGGTAAGACAAGAGAAGGTCAGCAATGTCGGCTGTAATTTGGCACGTGTGTAAAGCGTCTATACTGGGCACAAAACAAGCTATCGAGATTTGAAAAAAAAAAAAAATAGAACGTTTGCAGAAATTAGGATTGCTATACTCTGTTTCACCTTGTGTTGTACCGCAGGGAAGGCTACAAGCGCCAGCTCCTTGCTCTATGGCAGACCTCGGCGGCACAAGCTCTCGTGCACCAAGGGCAGCTGCCAACGCTATGAGCTCGCGCTTCTAGCCTTCGCTGCGGTACAACATAAGCTGAAACTTAGTATTGGCGACGTGCGCGAACGAAAGCGTCGCGGTGGTCGGCCTTCCACGATTGGCCGAATGCTGACTATGACTTCAGCAAAGGAGTTCTCATGGACGGAAATAAGAGGAACGTGAGGACTTCAATTTTGACGGTGTTGACAGTGTTGGTTCATGAACGCTATGATCTCAAGCTTCCGCCATGCTAATACAAACACTTTCGACCTTGTTGTTCGCAAGGTAATGACGTCACGAAAGGTAACCGTACGAGGGCGCCACCGAAACATCTCGCCGCTAATAGCATACGACACGCCCGATCGCATTGCTGAAGGTTCAGTCACCGAGGTCGTCGAATCATCGGATAGGTAGAAGTGGAGTCAGAGAACCTAGTAAATTAGTTCGACACATGTTCAAGACAAAACACGTACTTTATGCTTGACGTTTACTTGTATTTGGTACACTCACCAGTTCGTATTCTTTGGACGGCAGGCATCTTCAGCCTGGAGAGTATCCGACGGATACTCTCCAGGCTGAACCAACAAACCAACAAATAAAGATACTAACATAAAGGCAATCGACTCCCGCGTAGTCACCGCGATGTGGGTGGCATTTCTAGCAACCTGATACATATTGGTCTCGTTCCGTTGTTATTCAGAGTCGACATGGATTGCTCACCTTTGGTTCCTTTTGTGTGAGACGCAGCAGACGGGATGGGCTCAGCCATGTATATTTAACAAGGATGAACACAACTGTGCTTCTTTGGTTGTTTCCTTGCGATGCTCTTTATTTGTTGTTGCTCTGTTAAAATGTGATTTAATTTGTTTTACTTTGAAGGCATCTAGCGATGCATGACACGAAAGTGTAGCAATGATATAAGTAAAATAAGGACAAGCTCTTATTTTGTTATTTTTAAACAGTGGTTCATTCGCTGAAAGTAGGCGTCTTTTTCCCTGCCACGTAAATATTGATTAACGTAATGAGTCAGTAATTTTCAATGATGGTTACCTTCGCTGCGATGCGCAATGGACCTTCTAATGACTGCGTCTCCGCAGGAGTGGGTGACCGCGACGGCCATCCGGATTGTGCTGACTCGACTGAACACATTCGGAGACGAGATCTTCGGCGACAAGCAGGTGCTGCGCTCATACTACTACGCCATCGCAGACTTCGCCGTGGGAGGACGGTCAGTGTTTTGTATACGCAATTTCGCAAACCGTGAGAGTCGCTACCATTAGCTGCATGATGGTGATTTCCATATATTCGTTTAGAAACACCGCTACTTTCTGCTCCACGCGAGCAACACTGCAGCCTTTCGCCCACGCCAGCAGCTGTGTCAGGGGCTCCAAAATGTAGTTATTAAATTTTATCAGATATTCAGATTTTGAAGACGAACTAAGGTGTGTACTCACGAGTAGACAGAAGGCCAGACTCATGCAGAGAAAGCAGTACAAGCACTAGATATCAGCTAAATAACATTGTCTATATTTGAACGTCAAAATCTCTGTTTCATGTTTTGGTCTCTATAGAAGTAATGAGAAAAACGTAAAAGTGCTGCGGGAACTTCCCATCACTTTTAACACTGAATGTGCTAAATGGAGGCACCGAGCAACAAATAGTCGTTGCTCGGAGCCGCTCTCATTCTTTGAATATAGTTACACGCAGGCAATGGGGCCAAACAGCCCATGCCAGAACTTGTGACTTGTTCGTTTGCACCTGTCAAGGCACACCAAGGCGACGATGTTTTCCTTCATGGCACTTATTTTTGACGTCCCGATAGTTGGCATTCCATGCCTTCCTTGGAGAGTTTTTATTTTAACACGAAACGATTTGGCCTTCTCCCCTTATTATTCTCCTCCTCTTATCGCGCGCTTGCGCGGGTCTCAGGACGAGGAGCTTACCAGATGCGCCGCAGTATTCACGATGCCTCGCAAGAGGAAAGAGCAGACTGAACAGGAGATAGCTGAACAGAAGTCTCTACGTACCGAGAATAGTCGCTCGACTTGCCAGAGACGCCGGACGAAAAGAGCCATGTTTTACTAGCGGACATGGCCTTCGTAGAAAACAAACAATGCTATCGCGTGTCGAAGTGCAGCAAAGCACCACCAAAACACACGCTCGGGTTCTTTTTGTACATGACTGGGCGCAAGCTTTGAAAAGCACCTTGGAAACTTGAACGTGAACATTTGACAGAAATCTGTTTGGAGTGAGAGGAGTGAGAGCATGCCCACGCGAGACGCACATGCGCACGGGGACTTTAGAATGCAGTGCATTAGAGAGACAAATGTTTGTGTGTGTGTGGGGGGGAGGGGGGTACTGAAACAGGGGATATGACAGAAGTGCTTTACGGCCAGGTACTCCAGCCGTTCGCGTCCGAGCGTGCTGTACCTAATCTTAGAAAGTTTTCGCTTCTGTGAGAATTATCTAAGAGGCTACCATTCTCTGTTTTGAAGATGTTAAAAGACTGCACCCATGGCTGTACTGGAGGCGTCTGTGGTGAGGCGTGTTGGAGCACCAGATGTGCAGTGATGTAGTAGCGTTGTGTCTACTAGGGCCTGCTTGGCCGCAGAGAACGCCGTTGTTGCCGCGTCCCTCCACTCGATGGGGGAGGACGGGCCCTTCTTGGTCTTTGGCAGGTCAGGACACAGACGTGTTCTTGCGCTGTGACATCGTACGCAAGTGCTTAACGCCTACCAACGACGGCCCTTATAAAGTCATCGATCGGAAAGAAAAACACGTTAGCATCGACACCAATGACAGTCATGACGTCGTGGCAATGGATCGTTTGAACCCAGCCTATCTGAATGATGACAGTACATCATCCCCACCCTGGACCGCGAGCATAGCGACTCCAAACACCTCATCGTTCACTCAGACTGCCGTGAAGACAGTTTTTTGGGACGACGATGTTCCACGTGCTGACACAGGACCGCGGTCGACCACACACTCCCTTCACTTCTGCGAAGAGGAATCCTGTAACATCGGCAAAAGCCGCTACAAACAAATTCGCCAGTTTGGCGCCGACGCTCGTGCACTGCTGCGAGCTTAGGAAAAGGTGCACGAGCGGCGCTGGCTCGAGCGATAAAGGCGATTCGATTTTTTTCTGACAAACGGCTCGCTTCATCTCTTGATTGCCTTCGCGACAAGTCACGGGGCATGTCACGTGACGTCATTTTTCTCTAAATTTAGCGGGGAACCTGAACTTGTGTATGGTCATGTGACAAGAAGTCATGTGGCATTATTTTCCCCGCTAAATTAAGCCGGGAAACTGAATTGTCGTTGAGGTCACGTGACGTAAATTTCCCGGTAAACCTAGTGGGGAAACTGAATTTCTTTATAGGTCACGTGACGCAGTCATGTGACGTGAATTTTTCCGCTAAATTTAGCGGGGAAAGTGAATTGGTGTTGAGGTCATCTTATGGCGCGAAGGCGATCGAAAGATGGACCGAGCCGTTTGTCAGACAAAAATCGGATCGCCGTTCACGTGACCTACATATAAATTCAGTTTACCCGCTAAATTTAGCGGGAAAATTGGCGTCACATGATCTTGACAAAAATTCAATTTCCCCGCTAAATTTAGCGGGGAAAATGACGTCAGATGACTTCGTGTCATGTGGCGTATAAACAAATTCAGTTTCCCCCGCTAGATTTTGCGGGAAAATTGACGTCACGTGACCTCAACGCCAATACAGTTTCCCCGATAAATCTAGCGGAGAAAATGATGTCACATGACTTCTTGTCACGTGGCCTATACACAAATCCATTTTCTGTGACCTATGCCCAAATTCAGTTTACCCGCTAAATTTAGCGGGAAAATTGACCCGTGACTGGCCGCAGTCCGTCATTCACCATACTTTGTGGACACCAACGGTACTACAGGTTTTACCGCCCATTTTAATCCGAACGACGGTCAATTTAATCCAAGTGCCATCTAATTTAATTCCAGCGTCACCAAATTTCACCCTGAGGTCAGTCAATTTAATCCACAATATATACATGCACTTACTTGTCTTCAGCGTTGTTTCGCTTACACTTTTGAAAGCTTAGGGTAATTGTTTATCAATTAGATTTTGTTGGAGACAACTGATATTTTGATCACTATTTTAGTATTTGGTGTTACTAGTCGCACGATTGACGAGGCTTACTTGACATGTTCGTTGCTCGTTTGGTAACCCCGAGTTATTATAGTGGCGCACTCGACTTTATTTTAGCGGAAATTACGTTTTTTTACTCTTTCTTATTACTTCAATTTATTATTGAATCAATTGAGATGATGAACGCCCAATTACAATTTGTGAACACTATTTTGATTACTTCGAGCTATTATTGACACAGGTGACTTAAAATGGCTTTCACTTCACTTTGACCTTTAAGTAACACAACTTACATAATTGAAGCTCTAAATTTTTTTTTTCTTATTCGCTCGATTACTTTGGGGAGTTATTAAGAAAAATATAACACGATAGAAGCTAATTTGACCTTCTGATTACTTTTTGGTTATATAGCTAATATTTAGACAAAAAACTTTATAGAAGCAAAATTTTCATTACTCAATCGATTACTTCGAATTATTGACAAATGCGACTACATAAAAGTTCAGACAAGATTTGGGTTACTCCTTTGATTAATCCGTGTTACTATTCACCCAATTGACTTTAAATCAACCCAGACATGTACGTAACGCGTTACTAGTAACGAGTTACTTTTATCTAGTTACTATTTTCGGTAACGAGTAACGTATTCAGTTACTTTCTTATAAAAGGAGCGAGCAACGTACATACTTAGTTATTTTAAGGCCAAATAACGGATAAAAGTATTTCGGTACTTCTGAAGAGTAACGTGCACAACACCGTTTAAACAGAACCTGAGTGTGCGTCTATTGCGACAGAGGCAGATGGGCAACCCGAAAAATAACTAAACAGTGCGACAGTATATAGCCACGTTTATCGCCGAACACGTCAGTCGAACTCTACAGCGGAGAATGTCCTTCACCCAGCGAACGCAATAGGGTGCATTGGTTGAGCCTTTCTGGAATCGTGTACAGACCGGATGTAAACCCCGAGATTGCCAACACGGGAAGGCACAGATCCCATTGTCACCTTGGAACTTCAGAAGCAGAGAGAACAAAAGAGTGTGGAGTCCCAGATTCAGCAGCTCTTCTTGAAGCACAACCCTGCCGTGCCGTCCCTTCGAGCGCGTCAGTAGAGCGACTCTTCAGCATCGCCGGAGATGTATTCTCAAGGATGCGGGGAAACATAACCGATGAAAACTTTGAGAGAACACAATAAACACTGAAGCAAAAGCAGTTGTGTATTTGGCCGTCAAAGTAACGAGAAGAGTAACTCGTTACTTTTGAGGTAACGTAACGAACGTTCATTTTGAGAATCGCTAACGAGTAACGAGTAACGTACACAACTGAATTTATATCAACATTATTGACATCTTGATTACTTTGAGTAACTAGTGACCTAATTGACTTGATATTGGTCTCACATAATCCTCACCCTCTGAGCTTTTTATACTGTCAAGTGATTTATTATCAGCTCAGTTACCATTATGATCCCTCTTGATTACTTCGACTTACTATCGACCCAGTGGAGTTTACTTCGACCTAATTGACGTCATGATCACTCTTCTGATTACTTTAAGCAAATTGTACACTAACTGATTAAATATGAGCTCGAATCACATTATGATTACCCGTTTGGTCAATTCGAGTTTCTCTTGACCCTATTAACTTTAATTCGCCCAAAATGAAATCCTGAGGACTTGACTACTTTGAGTTAGAATTTAACCAATTGATTTGTTATGAGCTTAATTGATGTTATAGTTGCTATTTTGATTACTTTGAGTTACTATTGACCCAATGGACTTCAATTCGACCAAATCTACATTTTGATGACTCTTGATTACTCCGAGTTATCATAACAGTTCATCCATTATGAGCTCAATTCACATTAAAATTGCTCTTTTGATTACATCCAGTTACTTCTGACACAATGGACTGTATGTCGGCTTAATTGGCATTGTGATTACTTTTTTGGTTACTTTGAACTCGTATACAACCAAATGATTTATTATGAACTCAGTTGAAATTCTGATTATTCTTTTGATCACTTTGAGTTACTATTGACCGAATGGTGATTCAGCCTAAATGACGTTTTGGCGACTCTCTTGATTACTTCG